TATTTGATTTTTGTGGTCTGCTTTCTTCAAAGGTACCTTCATAACCACCTCATGAATCTCTTTGCTGGAGCCTGGGAGCCCAGGGATATGTCTCCACTTCCCGTTCACATCCCTCAAGCCACAGACAATCAGGTAAGTCTTGTAGTAAATGTTCGTCAATACGTAAATGCTCTGGCCATTGGAGATTGACAGCATTTTTAAACATTTTTTTTGATGCATGCCAGATCCAAAAGTGCCTAGAGCTGGTGAGTCGAGCCAAGAAACCTGTTATTGTGCTGGGTAGCCAAGCAACACTACCCCCAACACCAGTGGATAACATCAGGTAAAAGATGAGTCACGTGTCCTTTTATTTTTCTGCCACTCTTTGTTGTTTGGTGTTGATACTGGAAGTGTTTGTTAAAATGTGTTAAACTATTCCTGTGGTGAGCCTTAAGCAAATTTTTCTTCAGTCTTCAAATATCAGTGAAATTATATTTTGGTATTTTTACTTGGATGTTACATCTGGTCAAAATGGTTTCCCCCTTTTTAAAAAATGTTTTTATTTATTTCATTTATTTGTTTATTTTAAACAGGAAGGCTTTGGAGGATCTGGGCATCCCCTGCTTTCTCGGGGGTATGTGTCGTGGCTTGCTGGGTAAAGACAGCCCCATCCACATCCGACAAAACAGACGAGATGCTCTGAAGGAAGCCGATGTGGTAGTCCTGGCAGGTCAGGCAAACATTGTTTCTTTTTTATTCCATAATGATAAAAAGAGAAATAACATTTTGAGACCAACCTATTTAATATTAATATTATAATCTAAAGAAAATTGTGCAGGATAACTGCGTTTCAAAATATGTCGGAGTAAATATTTAACAAAGTTCCACGATGGATCAGTGTTATTGATTGCATTTTTAATTTTTCAGTAATTCTTTTGCATCTTTTTTTCTCCTTCTGGATTTAATTTATTCTGGAAGTATGTGTTGCGATACAGAGAGAGGTTAAACTGTGTTTTTTACATAGTGTGTATAGCTGCAGGCTCACCACGATCCCTGGAGAAATATTGACTTTTGTGCACCGTGTTTACAGGCACTGTGTGTGACTTCCGGCTGAGTTACGGCAGAACTCTCAGCAGACGCAGCAAGATCATCGCTGTCAACAGAGACAAGACACAGCTGCTAAAAAACTCAGACATGTTCTGGAAACCAACTATAGCAATTCAGGGTATGTTTGCCCCCTGATTTCATGCTAGCTTTAAAGGAAGGAAAGATTCAAAAATCTTTAGATAATCATAAAATATTGTACATGTGGTGCATATAAATATAAGCATACTCCTGATTTTTTTTTTCTTTAGAGTTGGACCTAAGAATAAATACATTAATTCAACAACTGCAAAAAAAACCCCAAAACTGTATGTTGTATTTTCAGGTGATGCTGGATCATTTTTAGTGCGACTTTCCAAAGGGCTGAAAGGCCATCGCTGTCCAGAGGAATGGCCTCAGAGCCTCAAAGCAGGGGATGCGACCAAAGAAGCTGCAAACAAGTAAGCAGTGGGGTTGTGTTAAAGTATGCATTGCAAAATCTTCTATCTGTAACCATCACAAAAGCTAACATGTTGCTTTTTTAAAATTTATTTATTTTTTATTTCAGGGCTAAAGCTGAGGAGAAGACTGAATACCACTTAAATCCCTTGAAAGCCCTCCATTGTGTGGATGAGCTGATGGCTGAGGACAGCGTCATTGTTGCAGATGGAGGAGATTTTGTAGGAAGTGCCGCTTACATAATGAAACCAAGAGGACCTCTGTGTTGGCTCGATCCAGGTAGGATGCTGCTGACAAAGCAAATAGTTTAATTAAAACAATGAAATATTTTGGTTGTTTAAACCAAGAGCTTTATAAGTAAAACAAAAATCCATAGTGCACAAGTTTTGGCTGGATGATAACTATATTCTGAGTTAGTTGCAATCATGATGTTTTAATCTTGCTCTTCGTTCCTTTCCTATAGGAGCCTTTGGGACTCTGGGAGTTGGAGGTGGTTTTGCTTTGGGGGCTAAACTGTGCCGGCCTGAATCTGAGGTATGTCTGGGGAGCTTTGCTTGATCATCTGATGATCAGTTTAAAAAATCATTGATGTTTTAAAAACAAAAGCTATGTTGTGTTTGTTTCAGGTGTGGATAGTCTATGGTGATGGCTCCTTAGGATACAGTATTGCAGAGTTTGACACATTCACTAGACACAAGGTAAAATCGCACACAATCCTATTTAGATTACATGTATGTAATCTATGGAAGCAAGGTAGCTAACAGTAGTCAGTTAGGATCAGTGCACATGTGGTCTAAAGAAAGATCTAATGATCAAAACCAAATGAAAATAATGCAAGTGTTAGCTACTGGTGTGTACGGCCTTAAACATCACAGACTCAGTTCTTGTGTCATACAATGGAAAGATGCACTACATAATATGTTTTCATACTTGCTGTATGACCGCTATGGACCACTGACACGACAGCTTATTTAAGCGTTCATTTTTTTGTGTGTGCATATTTTTCTGCTGATGTCTTTTGATAATGCATGCTCTGCTTTTCACACCTCAGACACCAGTGATAGCTCTGGTGGGAAATGATGCGTGCTGGAGTCAGATATCCAGAGAGCAGGTTCCTATGCTCGGCAGCAACGTGGCATGCGGCCTTGCATATACAGGTAGATTTATAATGTTCATGTTCGTGCTGTGATTGGTTGTAGAATACACTCAGTGATGTCTGGGCATATGTTAAAAGGTAAATTCTCTTCTTTTTGCAGACTATCACATCGTGGCAGATGGCTACGGTGGTAAGGGCTACCTTATAGGCTCTGAAAATGAAGAAAAGTTAAATGACATCGTCAGACAAGCTCAGAGGGATGCCCGGGAGGGCAAGGCTGCACTTATCAATGTTCTGATAGGGAAGACCAATTTTAGAGATGGCTCTATTTCGATATAGAATATCTGTGTAATACAGTAACCATGCATTATTTATCCTTTAACTCTGGCTACCCTGATGGACTCTTAATATCTAGGTTTGTGCAGGATTCTTTTAGTGTGACCTGGATCCAATCTCTGCTAGTGCACTTAAAGCCATAATTCACTCTGATAAATCACCTTTTAGTGTGCCGAGCTCTCTTGGATCACTTATTATTTCCTCCATCAGACTAGCAATGAATTCATAGCAAATCCACTATATATCAGTTATGACTGTTATCCTCCCTGTTGTGATACAGATATTTAGCATTAAGTTTCACTTAAAACATAGCTCCATACCTGCCAGCCTAGACAACGATACAGTCTGTGCTTAGAATTTTCAGAGAATAGCTGCTGCATTTTTTTTAAAGGGGGGTAAAAGGGAATGTTAAGGGATTATTCCTGTTTGGAAATTTTGTGGTTCAGTTTTTGACGGTTAAACAGCCGATTACAACTTTTGCAAATAAACAGTGAATGAAATCACTCGTGTGAGAGAGAGCATTAGCTACCAGTATGCCTTTTTCTCCTGTTCTGACATGAACACATAGCCTTTTTATGTGGACACAAGGCATCTTAGAACTGTATGTAATTTATAATTTAGGAAATCACTTTGTAGAATGGGGAAAACATTTTGTTTTTGAATGTTGATAACTGACTAACGGTATGCCTTCATAACGTTTGATTGTATCTTCAAAATGCATTGCCATGAAGAGACTGAAAACGTGTCTGCTGATTCGATTATATGTCTAAACAATATTTGATACTAACTTGTTTGCAGTGATATGGGCTAAGCCTGTACACAGTTTGGATTGCACTATTATCGTAAGATATTTACTCACCAGGTGAACACATCAGTTATTACACTCCTGTATGTACTGTTGTCTTGTTTGGCACATTGTGTGTTGAAATTTTAATCATAAAATGTTAATTTGGATTGATTCTGAAATAAATTTTTAAGAAAGGAGGTAATGTGAGTTTTTTATTTATTTACTTATTTATGTAAAACTGATTTAGATGTTTTAGGTGGCATGTTTACAGAAGTTTGTAATGACAGCAAGCATTCCTTATCTCTGCATCACCCATCAACAAAGCCTTTACTCAACGCATAAACATCTCTGTACTTTTTGTATTTTCGCAACATCAACACAAACCAGTTTAAAAACGCTAAAGATTCGAATCGTGCTTATCGTAACAGGTGACTTTTGCCCCAAATTCTTCTCTAGGTGCAGTTAGTATTTCAACCGGGAGATGGCAGTGCAGTAGTGGTATTGTTAAAGTCTGTGCTGACGTGTTGTTTAGCATACGTTATAAAACAATGTAAATGTAGAATTTAGCGTCAGTTTTGAAGACCACCGCAGTCTTTAGAACTGAGAATAATTTCATAAAAATTAATAAAGAAATTTAATTTACAAAAAAGTAATAAAAAGTAAAGTTGCACCTGATAGCGTCATTATTTATTTTGGTGATGTTTAATCACAAGACTTTGAACACAAACTGATTCATCTCGGGACATTACACATCTATTTCCACGTATATATGACGTCAGTAGAAAGACGAATTCATATGCTTTATTGTCCCTAAAAGGTCACATCTGCACAAATAAATAAATCAATAGAAATTATTTCTTAGTATTAACTCGAGATTCTCTATAACATCTGTATAGAGTACAGAGACGTCTTGCCTAGCTGGACGTAACACGGGAAGAAAAGCTCAGAAAATCTGCTGCTTTCAAATGCTCTTTGTAAATCTCCCCTTTGTGGGTTTGAATTTTAAAGCAGGTCCATTTGTTGGTTTTTTTCCTTAAATAAAACTTGTTACTATACCTGGGCTGCCGTGGAGGTCAGAAATCTATTTGTACATTACCGTGTCGATATAACTATCAAAGCATAGTATATTTAAAAAATGAAATTGCCCTAATCTTTGGTTTGAAACAAAGTAGAGCCTCACCTATCTTGCATTTTTTTAAAAAGAAAAAACTCAACACCTCTGTAGACTGGGTGCTTTTTTCGACACGTTTAGCCGATAGCTACAACGATGCGTGAGTTGATCTGTGTGCCTCGCATCAATAAAGACTGCGGAGCCATTCGCGCAGCACATGAAGGCATCATATGACCCGGTGCACTTCTCAGCAGGCGGCGACTTCAACGGTACCGCTGAAGTTAAGAGAGTGACAATGTGTAGAAAAGCGGTGTGAGCCGGTAACGTTTGTGCTGTTTGCGCTGCTCCGAAGAAACTAAGTGACATAAGTTTTATCTAGAAGGACTGGTTTATATCGGATAGCGGATTTAAATGCTCTACAATCATCATGACAAGTAAACAGGAGGCTAAATCAGGATTTTAAAAACACCTAGAAGGTAACTCGGCTCAGAACATCAGGGAAGTTAACGTTTTAACTGTAGCTAACTGACGTCGCCAGTTCGTTACATTTTTAGGTTGTTTAGTAAAAGTCACTGTCTATACTGTAACTTTACCGGGTTGGCGTAAACACCACTGAAAACCTAAAAGCTTCGAATTCAGATCAGTTTCCGAGCTATTTCACTTTACAAAGGACTAACTTTCGCCTGGTTCGCATTAAGAGGATTTCCACTTTAACCGAAGTAAACAGTGGGCATTACCATACCGGTAGCAAGGTGAGTAAGCTATCAATACTGAACAATGTACCGTAGCATTAGCTGTTAAATGACGCCGTAACACGTAATCGATTGTATGTAATGTCACCGAAGTTGTGTCTTCAGAAATTAATGTTGTCATGACGAACTGCTATAGGTTAATTAGTAATTACTACTAATTACTCATGGTTTGATATTGAACCGGTGGAGCTTTGAATTAAAGCTGGAGTTATAAAAAGAGAACAAGTTACATGTTCTTGTTATCTAGTTAATGACTAGCTTATGTCATACTCCTACTTTCCAGGTACAGTAGCTTTACTGAAGGTTTGAGGTAAGGTGTGCTTGCAGGAGGAAATGAATAAGTAATTTACTGCTTGCAGAGCAGAACAGGGACATGCGGAACAAGAACAAAGGCAGGCTACATTGATTGACATACCTCCCCCCTTTTTTTGACAGGTATTTTCTACTGCTCTGGTAGGATTCAGTGTAATTAGATTCTTCAGAAAGCTTCACACACCACTCCCATTTAGGGTCCAGACTTGTTTTGTTGTGTTTTTCTTGGTTAACTAGTCACTCCCTAAACATACTGCACAGAGGCTCTTAATTGATCATGTTTTCATTACAGGAGCTGAATGGCCTCTGTTGTAGCAGTGAAAACTGAGAAGCGGCCTGCAGTGGATTCTCAGGATGCAGACTCCAATGCTAAAAAGCCCAGGTAAGCTCAGATGCTGCTTTAGAGCCAGCTGCACGCTATGACTATAACTAATTCATCAACAGGGCTGATTAAAATCTTTTCTTTTTTTTTTTTTTGAGTTCCTAATTTTTGCGGGCCCTACATAAAAGGTATGGTTTAGTGTCCGACTGCATGTTAGTGGGCTTGAAAATAGTTTGTTTAACCTTCATGCTGTCGGAAGGATTTGGGAAGTACCATCTTGGGAACCATCGTCACTCAATCTCTGCCTACCCCAAAGGAAACTGCTGCCCAGTCTGAAGACTAAGCGAGCCCCCGAGCTTGTCCTGGTGATTGGTACGGGGGTAAGCTCTGCAGTGGCCCCTCAGGTCCCTGCTCTCCGCTCCTGGAAGGGCCTCATCCAGGCCTTGCTCGATGCAGCCAATGACTTTGACCTACTGGAGGAAGAGGAAAATCGGCGGTTCCAGAAGCACATGCAGGAAGACAAGAATTTGGTGCATGTGGCCCATGACCTCATTCAGAAACTTTCCCCGGTAAGCCTGCTTGAGCCTTTCCTCTTCGGCTTTCTTTCCTACACCTCCCTGTTGCATGCACACTAACACATGTTAGACAGACTGGCAGCTTAGTGTGCTTTCCCCAGCTGGAGACATTTTGTTTCAGCTTCTGTGGCTTGACATAAGAGATCATAAGAGGTTAAAACCTTTATAGCCTATAACATAAGGTTTAATGTGGATTGTTTTTTTGTTTTTTTTAAACCCACAAAATTCAATACAGGCAAACATTTATTCAGTCATTTTGAAATTATTTGCATATGTAATAGAACAAGCTATGTTCACTGCCTCCAGGTGCTTTATATTGTGAGTTAAAGACCCAACAATCACAGGGACATGATCTTCTTTATGCATAACAATGTGTTGATCTCTTTTATTGGAACAGTTTTGACTTTTAAAATGTTTAGTTAAGTAGTGCCAGTTTGGAAGTGCATCTATGTTTTTTTTATTTTGACTTTTGATTTGTTCCCGTTTTTAATGTTAGTAATAACTTCTGTGTCAGAATGCAGAAATGAAAGCAGAAGTTTGACTTGATATATGAAACTTCTGGATTAATACTAGAGGGGTATATGCCACATTAGAATAAAGGAAATCTCACAGGTGACGGGAAAGTAGAGAGTAAAGGATACAAATGTATCTGCAACAAGCTAATATGCTGTGTAAAAGGGAAAAAAACCCCACAGCTTACAATCATTTCTAAATACAAACATTATATATGTTATATACAAAAAGAGAGTAGGATAAAGATAAAAGCATATAAATAAGATTCAGAAATGCTGCTGCAGTATCTCCAGTATAACATGGGTGTCTTGCACATCTGTCACACTCCACACACCATTTATGTTTTAGAGCAAACCACACTTTCTTCATTGTAAGTCTTTCTTAGTTTAACAGCTCAATGTCAAAGCACATTCTGCACATAATGCAACTGCTTCTTAGTAAGAGCCTGAATGTTAAACTGAACTTCCAGACCGGTCGCCCTTGTAAAAAAATATTTTGCTAGCAAGGCTACAAATTAAAAAAATGTGACAAGATCTTCCCTGACCTGTTGAGTGGGAAGTATTTTCCTTTCAAAATTGCTTTGAGTAGAAAAGAATCAGTCCATTTACCCTTTACAGTGATGACTGATGAAAGCATAATATTTTGAGATATGTAAAACATCCAAAGGTAAATATCATAGGTTAATAACACCTGAAATGTTATGATGAGCCAATCAAGGTTACCCAAGCTGTCAGGAATTTCCTTTACCTGACCACCTAATCATAACAGTAACCTTACGAGCTTTCACAGGCTCAGTGACACACTGCACAGAAGAGGTGTGGTACTGCCAGAATGCAGTGATGTCCTGACAAAAATGACACAGTCTAAGTGCATGTTCTATATGTGTTTATCTCTGAAAAGGGTGTGGCAGTTAAGATAAAGGAGAGGAGGCTGAAGATAAAGGTGAATTCATCTGTTTGAGGAGGACTGAGACTCAGCTGGAGCTCAGGATTTATCCAAAGTAGAGTCACATTATTCTAAATTATTCAACCGTATAAACCTGACATTTGTGTGTAACCGCCAGCGTGTACTATGTGTAGAAGAACACAAAACATTTACAGTCAGATCCTGAGCCCTCTTGTGTGTTTTTGAAGACGGTTACTGTGCCACGTGTCTAGATGCAGCGCATTGCTATCATTTTTTCCCACAGGCTGTGTGAGGCTGCAGGTGAGAAAACAATGTTTAGTTTATTTATTTTTTTAACCAAACCACGGCTCGCTGGACTCATTAGTTTGCTAGATTGATAGATTTACATGTGACTCAGTTCTCTTACTATTGAACCGGTCTGCTCTGGAGCTGGGCTGGCAGATGGAAGACTTAATACCGTTTGCCTCCTGTGTTAGTCATGTTTCATCGCACCTTTGACATTGATAAAACACGCTTTGTTTCAGCCCTCAGCCTGTTGTAACAAAGGGAACAAACAGCGCTTTTATGGCTTTATCCATCGTGTTTATTTCAATCCACAGTCGTGCAGACACCAGCCCACTCCCGTTGGCCACAGACACAGCCGGGTCTAACATGCTGAGGAAAAAAAACAAGCATAGAATAATGTGAACCAGCAGTCCCCCACTCCCACCCCCACAGCCCAGATTTCACATTCAAGCAGAGTTTAAGTCTAGTGCAAGCACACAGTAATGTATAGTCTGTATGAGTGTTAAATGCCTATAGGCATTTAATTCACAAAAGCCTATGTGCAAATACTTCTCTTGGTGAAGAGAAGCACACATGCTAGCACTAGAGCTAGGTAGATGTACACTGTAGTTTTACTCTGCTCTGGGCTAACAGAGCAACTGCTGTACAGTGCTTTAGACAGAACTCAGCAGCTGTGTAATAGTGTCAGAGACCTCCAATAACATAAGACAGAGACAGTTTAACCCACTTTCATGGATTTGTGTATTCGTAGGGTGGCTGCGGTCTGTAATGGGGGTAATCCAAAGTTAAAACCTAAAGAGACTGTCTAGGCCTGAAATCCTTGGCAGTGAAGAGGCTAATTACAAGTGTGCTGACCAAAGGTTTGGCTCAATTCAGGGAAGACGTGTAATTTTGATAGTTGTTTAGACCATAATCTGAGATGTTTAATCTTCAATTTGTATTGCAATGACTACTTATAACAAATCATAGTATTTTGTAAAAAAAAATTTTTCCACTGAACTCTCTCTTACTGTGCTCCTGAAAAATTAAAGTGTGAGTGTTTTTGTTTGTAAAGCTGCTAAGTGCATTATAAAAAATTAGGATTAGAATTACAAGACAGAGTTGGTCTCGAGTGCTTTCGTTGGTTATTACGTAAGTCCTGACCAGAGGCCAAGGACACGGCGGTCAGGATGGGTGCTGTAGACGCTGGATGTGGATAATGAGTTTCTTCCTGTGGAAAGGACTCCTGCTGTTTAGCCCATTAGAGCTGTAATCTGTGAGAGTCCGCGGAGTATTTCCTTGTCCTAGGATCACAGTGGTCAGTGCATTTCTGAATTGTCTTTTAGCTATTCTTAGCAGCCCAGTTCCCCCACCTCCACCTTTTCCTTTTTTTTTTTTTAAACTAAAAGCTTCACCAGGTGAGGATGAGGTTTAAGTCACAGTCTGTAATCTCTAAATAGACTTAAGCGAAGTCTATTAGTTACTAGAAGAAGTAAGTGAATGTGCCTTAGACAGTTTTTTCCAGCTATCTCATTCTTCGGCGCCACCTAAGTTTCACTTAAATTATCGTGAAGGGCTGTGCCAAGGAGAGGCATGTTAACGACAAGTTTAAATCCTTTGTTATGCCTGAATCACATGGCTGCATTAGTAAGGTGCGCTCAAGTTTGGTCTAAAATGCTCATTTAGCAGTTGCAACTAGACACAGGTCTCCAAACCTACTACATCTTGAAGTAAAAGCCCCAACTGGGCAAAAAACTATCCACTAATAACAACGTGCTTTTCCTTTTCTTTCTTTTTAAACAGAGAACAGGTAATGTAAGGTCCACGTTCTTCAAGGACTGCCTGTACGAAGTGTTTGATGATTTGGAGTGTAAGATGGAGCACGCAGGGAAACACTTACTGCGGTCAGTGCTGCAGTTAATGGAGAGCGGCGCACTCGTTCTCACTACCAACTTCGACAACCTGCTGGAAATTTATGCAGCCCATCAGGGCACCAAGCTGGAGTCTTTGGACCTGACAGATGAGAAGAAGGTAAATATCACTTGAAATGTGATTGATCTTTCTTGCTGCAATAGATGCCGTCAGCTGTTTGGGTTTTTTTGTCTTTTTTTTTTTTTTCTCAAATGAGGGCAAAGGTCCCCAACATCATGTGATACCACGAGCACTTTGGAAGGTTTGTAGGTATGACTCCCTAAAATTCAGACAAAATAAATGACAAATTGAAATCTTGCTTAAACTTTGCCCCGAGCACTGTCTTGTGCTCTGGTTACATTTATGACACCGGCTTCCACTGAAGTTCCCCGTTGGCCGGTTTAGGAGAAAAAAATAGACGAGGCTTTTGACCTGAAAGAGCCCTTTCTGTCAGGCAGGTGGAGGGAAGTTTAACTTCCATTTTTAATCATTGAACAATATTTGATTTTTGGCTTTAAAGTGGGCTGAAGAGGAAGCACATGTTTTTCTAGAACAAAACGTTTCTTTTAAGTACCAAATAAGTTTTCTGCAAATTCTCAGCTGCCCATCATTTATGTCCCAGCACATTTAAACTTAGCTGAGTGGTTTCTTAAAGAGAACACAAGTTTGCCAGAGTGAGCAGAGATTTCTGAGAGACCCGTTACTTTGCCTCTCAGTCCTGGTATTTATGCCTCATCTCCATCAGGGCGAATATCCTCTCACTGCTGCTCAGTGATTGCGCTCCATTCCCAGCCAGAACAGGATTTTGTGCAATGGACTGTTAAGTGTGCACTCGTGTGTGCTTGTGTGTCTAGGTGCTGGAGTGGGCTCAGGAGAAACGGAGGTTAAGTGTTCTGCATATCCACGGTGTTTACACCAACCCCAGTGGTATCGTACTGCACCCTGCTGGCTATCAGAATGTATTGAGGAACACTGAGGTTATGGTAGGCACTAACGTTCACTGCTTTCTGCCCCCTTTTTGGCTTAAGATGTAAACATTTATATGTGTACATCTTAATGATTTACAATTTTCCTCTGGACGTGCACTAGTTTATTTGAAAGGTTCTCCTGTGAATGAAATAATACAGCTTTATCACTGGGTGTTTTTTGCAGCGTGAGATTCAGAAGTTGTACGAGACCAAATCCTTTGTCTTTCTGGGCTGCGGCCGCACAGTAGACGACACAACCTTCCAGGCTCTGTTCTTGGAGGCGGTTAAACACAAGTCGGACCTCGAGCACTTCATGCTCGTGCGGCGAGAGGATGTGGGAGAGTTCAAGAAGCTGCGCGACAACATGCTTGACAAGGGCATCAAGGTCATCTCCTATGGAGACGAGTACGCTGACCTGCCTGAGTACTTTGAGAGGCTGGCCAATGAGATCTGCAACCGTGACGTGTCCACCAATGGCTGGGGTAAGCAGAATGAATTGGAACACATTAGCCTGCCTTTGAATGATCTGCATTAAAGGGGCCATCACATTTACAAATTTTTTTATTATTTTAGCACTGGGGCTCTATAAAAGAGCTTTCAGTTTATCACAAGATGAGAAATAAGGACAGGAAAGAGGTCATGGATGTTCTTTCTTTGTCAGTATCTATCAAAAATCTATCATAAATGTGGGCTCTTTGTGAAGCACTTTGTGATCTTTTTATCTAGAAAGGTGCTATACAAATAAAATTTTACTTGCTTACTCTTTGCACGTTGTCTCTTTTCAATGTGTATCCGCAGGATCCCCGTCGCAGAACGGAGAGGAACAGCAGATCGGTATTAACACACAGAAAAGCCTCCTTCAAGGTTAAGACTGAACTCGTCTCTTTGGCTCGGAGCTGCGGCCTCTCGCTAAAGACATTTTCAGACTAAACGTCCTGTTCAGAACTGTTTTCTGACTGTATGCTGGTAGAAAATCCAAGTCTGTCTTGAATTTTAGTTACAAAAAAAAAAAATACTGGTATTTTTTTCCACAAACTGGTGTGGCAGTATTAACAATTGTCAGTGGCATCATTTCAGTAGATGTTCTTTGACTTTTTTTTAAGCTTTTCAGACAATTCCTTCCACTTCTTTTCAACCCCATACTCTTGACAGATGCATTTTCTTCCACAGCTTTACTCACAGATCAAGTCTGATTTTGCTGAATACATTTAGGAATCTATGGGGAACCTTAATTACATCATTATTTTTCAGATTCCCTTCTCATTCCGTTTTTAACTAAAAGGGAAAAAAGTTTGCCTGGCATCCCCTACTATACTGGATTTAAATGTTGCTGGAACATCCACTTTGTGGGAAGCATCCGGGTAACTGAATGGGATGTTCCCCTTTCAGTTCGACAGAAACACTACATGTGAATCCACAGTAGTTAAACATGCTGTTATGCTGAATTTTCAACATACAGTAAATACGCATTGAGCTTAACGCACAACCCCTGCTCTCGATTTTAAGTCTTGTGTGAATAGATTGAATCAGTCATGCTCATCCCACAACCTGGAAAACTTGATTTGCACACTGCTTGGTGGGGAAAGGGACGAGTTACTGTAACGACTGTCGTAAAAACGTACATTCAGATGTTTTCATATCAGAGCGGTTCCCGGCAGTAGCAACCTCTTTGCCACTCTTGTGCTAAAAATAAAGAAAAAAAAGAGTTCTTTAAAAGCCCCTTTTTGTACTTTTAATACTTGCATGTGTTTTCTGATGTAGTATTTATAATAATAAGCACCATTTTCAAAATAAAGCTTTTGGTATTCCATCTGTCCTGTCGTACATGCATCTCTAACACAAAGTACAACAAGCGCCACTTTAGAGGCTGTCATAGCATATAGCAGCTTTATTTAGAAACTTTTACATTCTCATAAATTATCTCAAATTTTCTTTATAGTTCTCATATTGCACTACCACATTTTAAAGGGGGGCCGAAATGTTTAAAACTTCAATTTTCTCTTACAAATGATGAATGAATCAGAGGGGGAAATAAATCAAAGGGCCACAGAACTTTAATTGACCACTTAGAAGTGTAGTCTGACATCTATGGACACCTGTAAGAACAAGAAAAACCTAAACTTACAAATGGATTTCTGCTTTTCATCCACTATAAACTGGGGAATCAAAGTCTTCATGTTGTAATGGCAATGAATTAACTGTGTGTTATATAGGTGAGGAACTCTGGGAGATGACTTTTAGATCATAACTGTTAATTTGCTCAGGAAATCTTGATGCACTGCCCTGTCGACCTTGATTTTTCTATGCCGTGATTTTCTTCTTGTTGAACACAAAAAAACATCTAACCTGATAAGTGCTGGTATTCACACCCACCCTATTGTAAATCATAAACTGTCTTCCCCACTAGACTAGTGGGGCTGCTTCTTCTTCTGCAAAGCCATGAAATTAGTGGGTAAGTATCCACATTATTGAAGTGTTAACTGAGAAGACAGGAGACAGACAGGCACTGTGGTCACTAACCTTTCCTCAGGCACAGGCAGCTGCTGAAATGTCACATCCAGCAAACACGCACTACCCGACCTCATTTAGATGAAAGAAATCTGACTGACAAATGCCAGGTAGGGAGCTTTTTTCTTTTCCAAGCTTTTACTGTGTAAACCAGTAAACCGATAGCACAGCCTAGGTCCAGTCAGCAATTATATCATTTGAATGAGACTTCACCGTTTCGGAACACAAGCTGATCTGAGGTACTTTCTAAATTTGGCCCAAATGTTTAAAAATAATACAAAGGGAGGCTCCTCTGGCTTTGATGCAACACGTTCTGTCTTTTCAAATGCACACTTGTCCTTTTACTGGAAGAATAACATCCTGTGTGAGACATTTAGTTCATTCATTTGATTCCAAAAGCAGGGGGCGCAGGGCAGCAGCATGGAAACGTGGGCTATAGCGGGGCTGGAACATCTTGTGGCAGTGTGGCAAAGGCTTCTCTGCAATGATGAATAAACCAGAAGAACATGCGGCCAACTTAAGCCTTCATCAGGGCGCTGACCACAGCACGGGCGTTGAGGCTGCGCAGGTCATTGTAGGTCTGCCCCGTGCCCACAAACACAATAGGCTGGCCTGTGATGTAAGTCATGGAGATGGCAGCACCAACCTGTATAGAAGGAAGGATGACGAATGAGAAATAATGCAAATTATTCACAAGGCAGAAAGCAGCTGCAAACTAATTACCAAACTGCATTCAAACATTCTCTAAATCACAGAAATGAGATGGCCCCAATGGTAAAGTGATCAGAATAAAATACCTTGTCATCAATAGTGTCAAACTTGGTGAGAACAATTCCATCAATGAGGCGAGGCTTGTCAGACATGGAGTGGTCTGCCAGAGCCTGATTAAACTTCACCTATGGACATGAAGCAAAAGCAGAGTTTTTCAGGTACAAACTGCTGAGGAAAGAGTTCACATGTAAATCTCCAACCTGATGCTGTCTAGAGGCAGGGGTGTAACAAAACAGCAGCTTAATGCAATAGCACTGCCCTCTGCTGGACAATTGAATACATAGAATTTTTTTTTAACCTAACCAAGTTCTTTTTTAGTAGCGTTAGACACTGACTGAAAGCTCTAGCAGCTGATCGCGTGACTCATACAGATATGAACTAAATGTTGTATTACTTCAAATTGAAAATGAACTAATTATTACGTCTTATATGTACAAAAAAAATATTTCAACTTTCTGAGTGATCTTACCAGCTGATCAACTGCCTCGTTGCCCACCAGAGCCTCCCCAACAAACAGCACTAGGTCAGGCATGTTGACTGCTATAAGCTTGGCCAGCGCTGTCATTAGGGGGGCGTTGTCCTGCATACGTCCAGCAGTGTCCACCAGCACCACATCAAAGGCCTGGTTGCGGGCTACAGGGATCAAAAGTGGAAAGGTGAACAAGTGATGCTGAAATGGGTGCAATGCTAATATTAAAAGTGCCACATCCCTTCTTTACAGCTAAGGTACAACACACTTTTCTGTGTGGCATCAACCAGCAACCCCTTACTAATGCCACAGTAGATTTTTGTTTTTTTTACCATAGGCAATGGCCTCCATAGCAATTCCAGCAGCATCCTTCCCGTAACCTTTCTCATAAAGCTGGACTACAGGTCGTCCACCGTGCTTCTCGGGGGGATGCAGAGAGTTCAGGCGGCGCTGGTGAGTGCGGAGTTGCTCCACGGCACCAGCACGAAATGTGTCACAGGCTGCGATCAGCACAGTGAAACCATTCTCTATCAGCCAGAAGGAGATCTAGACCAAGGCAAAGGAAAGTTTACCTTTACAAGGACACGGTAAATTACTCAAATTACCAACAAGCAGAAAAATTTCAATGTCAATTCACCTTTGCCAGGTTGGTGGACTTTCCCACTCCATTGACACCACAAAATGTGATGACAAAAGGTCTTCGCTGGCTCTGTGCTTCCATGACATCTCTCAGAATATCCACTCTTCGCTTGGGTTGCAGGATCTGCACCAGTGAGTCTTGCAGGGCCTGCTTTACTGTTGAGGCCACAGCTACACACACACACACACACACACACACACACACACACACACACACACACACACACACACACGGCGTTACCCATATGTGCTAGTGCACAACATCATTTACAGATGTAGTGTATTTAATATAATTACACCATAAAGTAACATAGTACCACAATTCATAATTACAATGAATAAAAGAAATTTATAAGTTGGAATTGCCAGTTAAGGCCAAGTATGTGAATCAAGTCAAGGGGGTCATACTGTTACAGCATTCATATCATCAGAGTTATTTTTTTAACAACAAGAGTTGCAGTTAATTGACTTTACTTATCAGTATGAGAGGCTCTGACATACACTTCATGTTTAAAATGGATTACTGTAATTTTATTACTCTTCCCAGCATGCGGACTGGTGCACTCAGAGGAAGAAGGAATATAAACATGATCCTTAAACCATACTATAAATTACAAATCAATACTTTGCTATGTATATAATGTGTACTTACTGGTGAATGTGCCCATGACTTTGCCCTCCAGTTTTTTGGCTACAGAGTCACACAGCTGGGAGGCAATGTCGGCTGCTACATTCTTTGCTGTGTGATCAGAAAGGAGGACAATGAATACCAGACAACGAATACCAGGCTATCATGCCTTCTGCAGCTGACTTCATACCGATCAGGTGGTCCTTCATCTTCTCCAACACTGGTTCCATATCCTCCCGGGTTAAACTCTTGGAGCCCACCAGGCCCTTCAGCATCCCAAACAAACCTCCACCCTTTTTGGAACTGAAAACAAAAGAAAAAAAATGCACAAATTATAGTTTAGACAACATTAAAAATGTTATTCCTGATACTCTAAAACTAATATTTCATACCTACCTTGGCTTGCTTGTTTCTCTGATGACCACTTCCTCATCCTCTTCCTCCATCTCCTCTTCATCACTGGACTCGTATTCCACAGACAGCAAGTCTCCCTTCATGGAGGCTGGCTGCATTTCCTGAAAAACAAACGAGGAACTAAGTATGTGGCATCTCGTCACTTATTTTAATCACATTAATCTAACTGCAGATGTCTTAGGGATCTAGGTGGTTAGATTAAAGACCACTAAATACCGGATCAAATTGTGCTTCCAGGTTCTGTTCGGCACCATTTGGAGAACCATTTCCATTCTTGTCGCTGTAGTCCAGATCCCTGGTGCTGCTGCCTCCATTGTTCCAAACACGATTTTGTTTCCCCTTTGGCTTCTGAGGCTTTGGCGACTTACTGTGAGAACGAGATCAGAATTAAAAATAAAAAAAAATGAGTGTCTCAACATGCTTTGCACACGAGGAGGAAAGAAAATAATCAATTATCATCATCAAACCATGGCTCTAACACAACACAGCAGACAGTCACACACACAAGTAACACTTAATATAAGTTTTGGGGAAAAGAAAAATGAATGAATTTTAAATAATAAGGAAACAATTAAAAATAATAAACTTGGGATTCAGGACAGATTGATAATGACATCAAGATGTGTCTTTAAAACACACATCGCTCTTGGCCTGCTCTCTCTTTTACATGGAAGTATCAGCTGCTTTACCTGGGTTTTTCAGAAGCTCCTGGCCTGTGCTTACGGAAGAATTCCTCTCTGTTCTTTTGCAAGATCTCCTCAGCAGTCAGGCTCTGGTTACCATTCTCCACCATCTTCTGGCCAGAGGCTGAGGCCTTGTCTTGATCCCCTTTGGCAGGCTGAGCTGCAGGAGCTGGAAAGGATTAGAGTCAACTGAGTTTGAAATCACGTTACCCTTACCCATTTAGAGTTTGCTTTTTATAACCGAAAGAGAGCACTTACCCTCCTTTTTGGCATTTTTATTCTTCTTGCCACCCTGTTCCTTGCCTTTGTCCCCACCCTTTGTCTCAATCATTGACTTCACAGTTTTTTGAGATTTCCCAGATTGCTCAAAGGTCCGCATCCCGGCAGGGCCTCGAGCTTTACTGCTCTCCTCCGCCACACTTTTGATAAACAATTAATATATGTCAACATAGGTAATAACAAAAAGAAACTGTCAGGGATGCATCTTTCACTTTTTCTAAGTTACTAAAACAAACATACAACAAAACTATTAAATCTCACAGCTTTTTGATCATATTTCTTATTTGGCATGTAAAACAAATATTTACAAACATATTTTGGCCAT